TAACATGCAAGGTTGGTTTAATATATAGGTATTAAGATATTATTTAATTGTTGTTACTAATAAAATATTTTAAAATTTCCAAATAAATTAGTTTTTTATGATAAAATATCATTTATTATATTTAATTAATATAATATTAAAATATGTATATTAAATATATAATTTTAAATAAATATATTTATATGAAAATATTATTGCATAAAATATAGTTATTAAAAAATTTAATAATAATTATTCATTCAATGTATTAAATTATTAATGATAATTATTAATACAATAAATTATTACAAAGTTTCAAGTTATATATAAAAGTATACATATATAATTTATTTTATAGTTCCTATTTTATTTATTATTTTAATAATTTAATTAAAATTTAATTATATATTTTACAACTTTTAAATTAGGTGAATGAATGACAATGAATTAGAAATATTTTAAAGTATATTTTAAATAAAATTATATTTTTCATGAATAGTTATATTAAAAATATAATTTTTTATGAATATTTAAATTAAAAGTATATTTTAAATTCTTTTAATAATTATTCTTTAGTAATGTTAAGTTAAATCTAAATTAATATGACAGTAGAGTAATAGTATAATATTTATATCTCTAAGAGATAAAATCACAATTCATTTAATATTTTAACATATGAAAGATGAATAGCAAAATATTTATATCTCTTAATAGAGGTGAATGTAATTTATATTAACGATGTTAAGTTAATGAACTAAATTATATATTTTAACAAAAGAGAAAGTAGAATATAACATTCTCATCTATAATTTACTTTAATATGATATAAAAAAAAATTTACTTCGTTGTACATCTATGTAAACTTTACATTAATAACATTCAATACAACAATATATACATCATTAAAACTTTTTCTTAAGTCTAGTTTACATAGATGTTAGTTTATGTAGTAGTGTATTCAATCATATTAAGGTATCAAAGTTTTAATTTTATGAATGTAAAGACGCAATTAAAAAAGAAGACTCACCGAAAGTAGTCAATTAGATTTTTTTATAGAAATTAATCATCCATCATGTAAAAATCTTTCATACCAAACAACTTTTTTCCTTATTTCTCAGTTTATTTATTTACCTATCTATTTTACTCTTCGAGAACCAGATTGACACTTTGATTTACACCACAAGTTCGTCATAATATATATATATATATATATATATATATATATACAGAGAGA